CTGAGTTTTTTGGGAGTTTGTCTAAAACTTTACTGTAGTGCACTGTAGAAGTTTTTGAAAAAATTTTGTAGAAGTTTTTGTAAGGTGAAAATTTTTTTTGTAGAAGTTTTTGTAAGGTAAAAAATTTTGTAGGAATTTTTGTAAAATGAAAAACTTTTTTGATTCCTTTTCTTTTTTTTTTTTCTTTCTTTTTCTCTTTCTCTTTCTTTTTCTTTTTCTTTCTTTCCTTTTTCTTTTCTTTTCTCTCTTCTCTTCTTCTTCCTTTTTCTTCTTCTTCGTTCTGTGTAGCCTCCCCGTTCCCTCCCAGCACCGACCCCTTCTCCCGCCACCCCTCTCCACCCTTTCCCCTTTTCCTCCCCTCTGCCTTCCCACTCCCTCCCCCGCCACCCCCCTCTGCCCCGCCACCCCCTCCTCCTGCCACTCCCCCTGCCCTTTCCCAACTTGATGACCCCCTCCCCCGGCACCCCCCTCTGCCGCGACCCCTTCCCCTGCCCCAGCGCGACCCCTCCCCCCTGCCCAGCGCGACCCCCTCTCCCCGCCCCCCCTCTCTGCCAGCAACCCCTTCCCCCCCACCCCCCTCTACCATTTCCCCAACCCGACCCAGGCACCACCCCCCGTCCTTTCCCCAGCCCTCCCCCCTCCCCCCCTGCTGTTTCCCCAGCATGCGCCTTCTCCATAGCCATCAACAAGCCATGTGCATCTCCGCACGATGGGGGACAAAACGGCGGTGGTGGTTGACACCGGTGGTGGTGGCGGGTTGGGATGGGGGTGGAGGAAGAAAAAAAGGGAAAGGAATTTTTTGTGTGTGTTGATTTTTTTTTTTTTTTGTGTTATTGGTATTTTGAAGTGTGTAGGTAAAAAATTTTGAGAAGATTTTTTGGAGTTCCTGTAGCAAAAGTTGTTAAAAAACCTGTAGGTAAAAAACTTGGCCAAAAAACTAGCTTCCAAACAGGCCCTTAGTTATAATATGTATATCCCTTTTTTGCCTTGTTTTCTGTAAAAACAAATACCACACACTCACTATTTGGAATTTCACATTATTTTTTCCAAATTCTCTTAGAAGGCATTTCTTCTTATTTTTGGCATGATTTAGTTTGGATTTTTATCCATCAATAATCTTCATGCTTTTAAATCTTTTCTGTTTTTGTGCGAAGAAAAAAGTTCGATAAATAAATTGAAATGAAAATGGATAGAATTTGAATACGAACCATATAAGAAAATTTTTTTAACAAGATAACAAAATTATGAACTGAAAACTTTATGCTAGCCTTTGTATCAATTAATTTATAGTTCAGGTTAAATGAAGTTTACGGTATTTTTGATTGGTTGTACACCTTAAGTAAATAATGAGTACAATAAAAGGATAATTTGTAAATGTGATAAAACGTTTTGCAAATTTCCCATGTTTTTTTTTCGAGAACAGTCTTTTAAAAGTCAATTTTGTATACACTATCACAATTGAATGCATAACAGAGATATAAAATTTAAATTATTTTAGATTAGTTGTCATGCATTCAAATTTAATAGTGTATATACTGTCAATATATATAAATTAATTTATCTTTTAAACGACATCTCATACTTATTGTTTGTCCTAAATAATTTTGGTATTTTTTAAACTCTGTTTTATGTTCTCTTTCTTTTCTTTTCTTTTCTTTTTTTTTTTGTGCGCAAGAAGTTAAATGAATCGAAAAAGTATACAAGTAGTAAGGGTAATTATGTCTAAAACCACATTAGTTAATCTCAACAAATTGGGTTTTTTTTTAACTAATGAAGTTCATAACCTGCATATTCAATAATTGGCATCATATATTAGGATATATATTTGGTTTTCAAAAGTCCACAACCACGACACGTTTATAACATTAGGATATATGTTCAAAAGTTGATAATCACGACAAGTTGAAGGCGCTCCAATGATTGTAAGACTCGTAACATTTTGTGAACCAAGTTAAGGATCATACTAACTTTTGCAATGTACTTTCTCCATTCCATTGAAAAGATTCTACTTTCTCTTTTTTAGTTATCTCAAAATATCTGTTGTGTTTGACATTTCTAATTATTTTATACTCTAAAATCTGTTTTATACCCTTCATTAAAGGTTAATTCAATTTTGTTCCCTCAAACTATACACGAAATCCCACTTCAATCCCTGAACTTCAAAATGAGATACTTAAATCCCTAAACTACAAACTATGTTTTAGTTACGTAAAATCGGTGATGGAATCAAAAAACTTGACGGTGTATTAGGAGTGTGAACATCACCCTCCTATAGCATGACTGTGTAAGTGTTACAAACTAAAAAAAATAGGGACACAAAAGTGATTTCATCTTTTGTAAGTGTTATAAACCAAAAAAAGGACATAAAAGCAATTCCATCTTTTTCTTTTTTTTTTTTTCCTTTTTTTCGTCTTCCATCATGCCCTTTTCTCAACTTTTCCAACCAATATCAAGAAAAAAAGGATGGAGTTCACTAAAAAGAACCCAACCAATTGATGCAGTAGACAACCTCCTTTCCTTCCCCCATAGTTGTCGCTCACTCTCCAGTTTTTCTTCCCTAAGTAGCATTATCACCAACAGCAGTAGCTTCTTCGTCGAATCCGAAGTGTTGCCGAAGTTTGACCCAACCCAAGTGGTAGAAGTGTTCGTTTGTGATAAGTATATATCTTACGTGTTTTTAAGTGTGTTTTATTAGTTAATTTTGATGTGTTTTAGTCACTTTTATAGCTAATTAACTAGGATTTTAATGAAAATGTACATTCTGTGATTTAAGTGATTAAAAATTCATTTCTATGGATTTTAATGGTGAAAACTTCATGTTTTTGTAGGTTTAGTGATTTAATCATCAAAGGAAGTGAATTGAGAATATATTTGGATGATTATTGATAATTTGAAATAGTTTAAAGAAGACAAGAAGTGCAAAGATGAAATGCAAGCAAGAACAAAAGAAATGCAAGTTTTCCAGATTTGACACATCATGGTATTTCGGCTATATCTTAAGTTACATGCATCGGATTGAAGTGACTTTTATACCATTTTGAAGTTAAGAGATATATCTACATTTGGTAAGAAGACATAAAAAATCCAGTTCAGTCATTTTCCTTGTCAAAATGTCAAAATACAGAAGTGCATGTGCATGGTCGAAAGCTCTGAAACATAGCTCTGTTTTCACACTACTTTCCAGCTCTACTCCAGACAAGAATTTCGGCTACACATGTTCAAGGGATCTTTTGAAAGAAAAAAGGAGCTTTATATCTTGTATAAAAAAAATCACTTTTTGATTCTCTTCACACTAGAGATGTAAGAATCATTAGAAAGAGAGAATAAGACATTAGAAGTAGTTCTAATCAGATTTTAGCATGAGAGCTTAGTTTTAAGTCTTGTCTTGTTCTCTCTAACTAGAACAATTTGTGAGAACAATTGGAGACTTCATTGTACAACTTATTTTGTTGAAGAAATCGAAGATCATTGGGAGCTTCTTCACTTCTTGGCTAAGCTTTCTTTAGCTATCTTTTTACTTGTGATTCAATATGTGTTCATGCAATGAATCTATATTCTTTCTTGTTATTTATCATATGAGTAACTAAACTTCTAGATTTAGGGAGTAGATGAAACTTATGACTACTTGCTATGAGTTAAATATCATTTACACTTGTTACATTTTGTATTAACTTGTTTATTTATGCATGCTTATCACTTGTTGTTACTTAATCACTAATAGCAAGTTATTAGTTGTTATTATTCAATGAAAGTTGGTAATAATGGTGGAACAACATAAATAGAGATTAAGTAGTAGACTCATGAGAATAGAGATACACTTAAATGGATTAAACTTGCATTTCATGAAGGAACAATAGTAGATCTAGTTATTCACCATGAGAATAGAGAAAACTAGTATAGTTTAGGCCATTTCATCATGAGAATGAGATTTGGTAATATTGGAAATGAATTCCTAGTTAAACAAGAGTTGTAACAAGAGCTAAATTTATTTGCTTGTATCTTATATGCCATAAGTGGAATCTATATCCCTAAACTTAAATATTTAGTGAATTTTCTCCATTGTTATCTTGCAAGTTATCTAGTTAAAACTAGTTAGATAGTAGGAATTACCATTTCTCATGTGTTAATTGATTATTAGTCTAAATAATTGTGTAAGTAAGGCTTTAGTACTTGTAAAGTTACTCCCTGTGGGATCGACCCGATATTTGCTCTAAACTACTAATTTGACCTGTATACTTACAGTCAAAATGAGTATATTTTGGAAGTAAATTTGTACTCATATCTAAAACCCGTTAAGTTTTTGACGCCGTTGCCAAGGAGCGGCAATATTAGGGTTTAACAATTTTTATTAATTTAGAAATTTCCTATATTAGTTAGTTAAACTTGTTTATAGTTAAGTTAGAATTTTTATTAGTTTTTGTGAAATAATTACTACATAATCTCTTTTATTTTTGTTTGTAGTGTATGCATCAAGTTTACGGGTAGTCGCATCTTTTGATCAGGAAATTGAAAGGACACTACGTAGACAAAGAAGGCATACACCACAACAAGAAGAAGAAGAGGTGCAAGAACGAATAGAGGGAATTGCTATAGAACTACCTTTTGAAGACGAAATGGCAGAAAATGAAGCAAATAAACGAGCTTTTAGGGATTTTGCTCTAGCGGGAACTCGAGGATCTCAAATAAGTATAGCACAGCCGTCGGTAAACTCTAATAATTTTGAGATTAAACCATCACTTATTCAAATGGCTCAACAATCTCAATTTGGAGGTAACGCCGTAAAGGATTCAAATGCACACTTAGCCACATTTTTTGAGATATGTGATATTATTAAAATGAATGGAGTTAATAAGAATGCTATACGGCTAAGGTTGTTCCCATTTTCCCTATGAGATAAAGTTAAAATTTGGCTGCACTCTCATGCTCCTAATACTTTCATTACTTGGGATGATTTGTCTAGAACATTCTTGAATAAGTACTTCCCATTAGGTAAAATGGCTAAACTTAGAATGGATATTACTAACTTTAGTCAATTAGATGGTGAATCATTATATGAAGTATGGGAAATGTTTAGAGATTTGCCTCGCAAATGTCCACACTATGGATTTTTCGATTGGCTAATTGTACAAATCTTCTATAATGGTTTATCCTTTTCTACTAAAACGACTATTGATGCAGCCGCATGTGGAGTTTTGATGGCAAAATCACCTCAAGAAACTCAAGGTTTGATAGAGAAAATGGCGGCAAATAATTATCAATGGGCTAATGAAAGAGGTAACCCAAAGTGCCAAGTAGGTATGATGGAGATGGATGCTATCAATATACTTAGTACCCAAATGAGCAATATGATGAAAGTGTTAAGTAGACAAACCGGATGTGGTTCAAGTTTATCTAATGTACATGTGGCTTGTCGTTCCATGTACAGAGGTGATTATGATACTAACGAATGTGTTGATCTTGAGCAGGTTCAATTTGTTAATAATTACAATAGGAATATTCAAAATAACCTATACTCAAATACATACAATCCGGGGTGGAGAAATCATCCAAAATTTGGGTGGAAAGATCAAAGGCAACCCTCAAAGGTTGACTAATCCGCCGGGAGTCCAATCAAGACAACTACAGACGAATATTAAATCGGCTTAGGAGATAGCGGTGGAGAAGTTAACTAAGGGTACTTCGGAGAGATTTGAGAGAATTGAAGGGAGATTGGACCAATTGACCGGGATGTATAGAAATCTAGAGGTTCAAATAGGTCAAATTTCCAATTCAATCAATAATAGAAACCGTGAAGAATTGCCTAGTAAAATCGAAGTCAACCCGATAGAGCATGTCAATGCTATCACTCTTAGAAGTGGTAAAATGGTTGAGGGACCTAACTCTGATAATTCAAGTAGTGAAAAAGATAAAGTGCAAATAATTGAAAGAGTGAAAGAAAGCCAAAGTGATCATGTTGTTATTGATATAGATGTACCTGCTCCCAATTTAAATTCTAATATGATTTCTTTTCCTTACAGGTTGAAGAAAGATGGGAAGGATCGGGAGTTTGAAAAGTTCTTCAAAATTTTTAAATAATTGCACATTAACATTCCTTTCATTGATGCTATTGCATAGATTCTCTCTTATACATGTTTCTTGAAGGATATCATGTCAAAAAAGAGGAAAATTGTAGATAATGAGATGATAGTATTAATGGAAGAGTGTAGTGCATTAATTTAGAACAAACTCCCTCCTAAATTGAAAGATGCAGAAGTTTTTCTATTCCCTGTACTATTGGTTAGCTACATTTTTCTAATGCTTTATATGATTTACGTGCAAGTATGTCACTTGTGCCTTTATCGGTTGATTGGAAGTTGGGACTTCAAGAGTTGAAAGTTACCAATATCGCATTACAGTTGGTGGATCAGTCAATTATACATCCAATTGATATTTTAGAAAATGTGCTCATAAGGGCAACACAATCTATTATACCTATGAATTTTATTGTTTTAGACATTGAGAAAGATGTGAAAATGTCAATTATCTAGGAATACCGTTTTTAGCTACTACACGAACTATAATTGATGTGAAAAAAGGTAAACTTATATTTTGGATTAATGGTGAGGAATTGGAATTTAATTTGATTAATAAAGATGGGGGTATAGAGTGTATTACTCTTGTTTTTAATATGCCATGTGACTAAAGGATTAACCAGGAAATGAATGAAAAAGTCAAATCTATACATTTTCTTGGTACTAATTTTTATGGTATAAGAGCAAGGGAGGCGAGGACAAGGACAGAAGTTTGCTTAATAAGTTCGCCATTCCATGAAGGAATAGACGAGAAAGGCAAGCGAATTATATTCCAAGGTGAAGTCAAGCCTTTACATGACAAGTCTAATACTCTTCCTTGGCATTTGAGGAAGTTGGACTATGGAGACCGATGCATGCTCATCACACGGTGCAATGGCCTAGGAGTTTTGACCCGTGGGGAAAAAATCACTCCCTAATATTCTAAAATGATTCGATTTTTTTTAGTCTAGCCAACGACCATAAACAAAAGCGCTAGTTGGAAGGCAACCCAATGTTTGAGTTATATATAATAATTTGGTATGATTTTGTGTTTAATACGTGTATTTAAATTAGTTTGTTGTTTTTGTATTATAGGTTTGGTAAACGGAAACAAAGATGACTATTTGAAACTGAAAAGGCGAAATTTGATCAAGGAACTTAACTCTCGATTAGCGTTAAAGGTGTTCGTTAAAAAGGGATAAAATGCATGTTTTGATCATTTTACATGTGCATGCAATAATATTTTTCACAAAAAAAAAAAGATTTAGGATGCATTTTGAGAATTTGGGGGTAAAAGTCTCATTTTTGGAAAGTTGCAAATTTCTGCAGTTTTTCTGCAGACATTGAAAACGCGACTCAATACACAACTAAAGGTCGTGTTTTCCTAACTTGTGTATTCGATTCTGCTGCTACAACACAGAATACACGAGTATCAGAAATACATGACCACAAGTCGCGTATTCCATCCTCACGTATTTCATTATGTACCCTCAACAAAGAACAAGCGACCATTAGAAAAACTCGACTTCAGGTCGCGCATTTAGTGGTCACGTATTCGGTTCTGCGCCAACATAAAAGAAAACGCGACCTCAAGTTGCGTTTTGAGGTCGCGTATTGTCCCTCAAGGTTTAAAACCAGAAAACGTGAAGGAGCTCTCCTTCACTCTTTTCTTCATCTTCCTCGCGTTTTCTCTCCACCAAAACACAAACAATTCACACACTTTCATTTTTACTCCATATTTTTGCTAAAAATCATCAACCCAACACCTCTTGATCATCTTATAGCCTTTCTAATTGATTAAAATCAAAAAAAAAAACAACTACAAATCGGTTTTTAAGAAATTTGGGGCTAGAGTTCTTAGTTTGCAATTTCTTTAATTGGAGATCAATTGGAATGATTTTTATAGGGCTTTTTGCATAATCATCATCTCCAAACATCCTTCTACGTGATTGAGATAAATCTCTTCATCAATTCTGTGGCGACCCCACTTCCCCCTGAGGCGAACCAAAGGGTTGGCGGGCCGTCTGCCCAACTATCGCCAGGACTCACGCGAGCAATCTAACCCGAAACCTTTCGAAGAATAAACTAATCTATTACAAAATAATCTTCCCCGAATAGAATCATACCTAAAGCCACATTAACTTCAGAGATAGCAATGATAAAATCGCCAGTAGAGGCCCTTAAACGTCCTACGTGCTACTTACCAAAGTACAAAGTCATAACAAACCGGGTAAATAAAATGCATAAATCCATAATACAACTTACAAGCCAAGTAATCGAATTAGGGTTTACACATTTTCCAGCTTCAAGTGGCAATCCAAAAAGGAAAATACATTATCCCAAATAACACATTACAGCCCACAGAATAAGTTATAGTGTTCAAACGCAGTCCAAAAGAAAAAAAAACATAAGTAAGCATCCAGCTTTCAGTTTCCAGAACCTGTTAAGGAAAACAATAAACGTGGGGTGAGTTAAAACTCAGTGGTGCCCCAAAACATGCAATCACATAATTTCAAACAGCGATTAATAACTGAACAACTTTAAACAGTTAGGAAGGCATGTAACAGCACAAGGTAGGATACGTGGGCTCTCAGGAGCCATTTTCCTCGCTTGATCATCATTTTTCGTAGTTGACCCTCCGTCAACTCTCACTACTTATAATCCATGTAGAGCGTCTTATTTTGATACCTAACCCGTCACCATTCATACCCCTGTCCCGGGCCCGCTCACCGACTAAGGACGTAGTATCCTCGAGATATACCCGTCACAGTAGTTGGATACAGAAGTCGAGGGATTCACCCAACGACGCAACTACATTTTAGATTTATGGTAGTTGGATACAGAAGTCGAGGGATTCACCCAACGACGCAACTACATTTTAGATTTATGGTTTCAGGAGAAAAATGTTTTTGCACAAGTCACCACTCGAACGGCTAGTGCGATAAAGTACACACAGCTCACTTCGATGGGTCAGAAACCAATTTTTCAACTTATCACACATCAAGTCAAGAAGGTACTTTAAGCAGGTAAACATAGAACAGGCAGGGACACTCACCAAAAGTGGAGTTCAGCTATCAAGTTGGGGATCGAATTCCGCGTCCTCGAAAAACCCTAAAAGCCAAAATTTGAAACTATAAGTTTCTACTCAGTTTTTAAGCTTATAGATATTGAGGTATATCTAATATACTACTAGTTCACTTTCCCTTAGAAAAATCAAGAATCTCCATAGGTTGAATCTTGACGAAAGTAGAAGAATTGTTTCCTTTAGTTTTCCTTAGAATACTTTTCTTATAAAAGGTAATTAGTATTATTTTCTTGAAATAAGTCGACAAACCTCTCAATTTCAATGTTAGAAAGTTACTTTGAACATTTCTCTAAAGTTACGGCTTTTGCAAAAATTATCCATAAAAACTATTTTTCCTAAAATAGGGTTTCTTGCCGAGCAAGTTTCCCAAGCTTTTCACCAAAATTAGTATAACTCGTATTTTGGAACTTTTCCTATAGTTAACTATCCAAGTGCAAAGCTTAAGGAAAGAAAAGGAATTAAAATAAGACTTAGAGTTTTCAAAAGCTATAGAACTTATTTGCTATAGCCATCAAGGCTAGTTTGAGCTAAAGGGAATTATTGGGTTAGAAAGTTTTTAGGCAAAACACTAGATATTGAGTTTTATAATATAATACTAGCTGGAAAATATTTTTGATTACTTTGACCACAGTCACTCGAGTTCGCAAGGTCGATACAACTTCCCCAACTCCGATTCCGTTTCGAAATCATAATATGGATCAAAATATGGCAAAAATCACATAGCAAATTACTAGGGTTTCGTCAATCATTAGCCATAGATTTCAACAAGTGCATTTCTGAATAAAATAAAATGATCAACCAAGGCTTCATCAATCATTAGCACTTGGTTTCAGCAAGCCCATCATAAGCAAATAAAAATAAAGGCAAAGCCTCCAAGACATTCCAGCAATTAACTTTCATCACCCTGTAGTACTTATAAAATCATTCAAATGGCTAAGGGCTTCATCAATCATTAGCCCTTGACAACATCAA